CAATATTTTGAACTTAGAAAATATTCGAGTCAAACCGAATTTATTCTAATCATTCAGAATACTTAACTTACATTCAGCTTTCATGTTATAAATAAATATATGTTTTACCACAATAAATAAACAATTAATCTAATTGAGAAGAATTCTACGTTGTGTAATTAACTCAAGAGTCACCTTCCAAACATCATCCTTGACTACTGATACCTGTAGGCGACGTGATCACTACAGTTTTAAGAAAATGGGTTACAAATTAATTCGAAACAAGAAGTTTAACTTTTGACTTAAATGAATAAATTRAATAAGTAAATGATAGGATTATATTATTAACTATTAAGTACCAAATACCACATAACTAAAATATAATTAAATAAACAAAATCATTAAGTTTTAAACGTGTTCAAAAGTTGTTGACGATTATTATTGAATAACTTTATTGTAATAATTAAAATTAAATTATATTTTTACATGTTTAAAACAAAACATTATTATAAATTTTATTTTAATATTAATTAAGCAATGTATGAATCATACATACCGTATACCWAATACCGTAAACAAATACCGTATACTTAGGTAGGTAGTATGRTATAATAATGCGAGTATATTTGTTTACTCACATTCATTACATTTTGAAGGTCAACCAAAAAGTATCGTGTCTGATGAGCATTTGCTGCTGCCAGACTCAGTAAATAATCGTTCCTAGCTCCCGAAGACTTCTCTTCCAAAACTTCTCTCCTGGAAGACACCTAAAAAGATCGAATATTTTGAGATTATTTAATAATCAAAACAATTAATTATCAAAGAAAATTGTTATTGTCTCCAAACTCCGAATTATAAATTATAATATTTTAATAATGACTTAATACATTTAATTAAAAATTATAATATTTACTTTCACACTGTTCTTTTGTAAAGAAGTGATTGACTGGAAGAACGAACCTTTCTTTTTCTTTAACCTGCAAAAAATACCAATCAATTAAGATAAAATATATTGCCGTGTCACACATAAATTGATGTTAGCAAACTTAATTCAATTGCTATTCTTATTAAATTCGCCATAGTTGATGACGAATAAAAGTTCAATAAATTCAAAATAAATGTTGTGAATTCGATGTATTGGAGTGTTACAATTATTTTGAAAATATTACAAACCATTCTTTACATATTACACATATCAATATATAATACGTAGGAAAGAGTTTTGTGTATAAGCTATATCTGACGATCTTTAGATGGTTTGGTTTGTCTACGTGAAACTATCAGAATATTCCTTAAAATCAGGGCTTAAAACCGGTAACCRGTTTGTAACGAAAACCGGTAAAAAACCGTATATTTGAGAACCGAAACCCGGTAATCGCTTTTAGTTTTGGAATGCTGGGAGCGGTTATTGTTAATCGGTAATCAAGGTAAATATCTAAATATTAACATCAAAGCGTTTACCTCGTATTTTCAATCCCGGTTTTATAAACAAAACCKATTCCCGAGTTCCCGACCAAAAAATCAACGTTTTTTTCGTGGAATTTATTAATTGAATTATGTCATGATAACATTATAGTTWAATTTAATTTTCCAGCTATTTTTAAATTTTTTTCCACAATTAATTGCCGTCGAGTATTGCTTATCTGTTATGAATATCACATATATTATATAAATAGATATAAGTGTATGACTATATAATATTATAAATACTGTCATAAACGTCGCATTTTTCTCAAATTATAGATTTAAGGACAAATGTTACACCCAAGTTTGGAAACAAATTTAATTTATTTTTAAATCTAACAATGGATTTGGACTTTTAGTAAATAATAATTTTTATATTGTTAGTGTGGGGTTTAGTATTGAAATTTATTTATAATTCATATTTTAAATTACTATTACACCCATTATCATACCCATATCTCTAATAAAAATTATTATTYATAWATGAGTTTTTTCACTTACTTAATTAGTATTTTAGATAATTTTTAAGGTCATGTTTTGAAGTTTTTAGGGCATTTTTGCACTTTTTTAGGGCTTTTTTGCATTTTTTTTAGGGAATTTTTGAGTGTTTCTTAGGTTATCAATATCCTAACTCCAGTTATTACCAAAAAGATCTGTGTCAATATTTCACTCTTGGTGTCATCTTGAAAAATTATTTATTTTYTCGGTTTCTTACAATTATAATGTTATAAATAAGAAAATTATAACAATAACATTTTTTATTTTTTATTTATTAAGATCGCCATTATTTCGATCATATGCTTTAAAGTTTAAACAGTTTAAACTTCAAAGTAGTTTGAAAAAATAAATATTTAAATTATTGAAGGAAATCCGACCAAATTAAAGCATATTAAGTTTTTGATTATGCATTAAATAATAATACTTTTGTTATCAACCCACGAATGCCCTAAATAAACTGTTTTAAAAATATGATAAAAAACTGAAAAAAATGATTTTTTTAAAACTGGTTTTAACCGGTAACCGATTACCAAAAAATCTTATCAACGGTTTTTAAACGATTAACGGTTATTATAGTGTTTGAAATATCTTTATGGAAACGRTTACCGGTTACCAAAATATCACAATTAAACGATAACCGGTTACCGGTTTTCAAAARTTTTCGGCTCCTAACGGAGCCGATTACCGACTTTATTGATAACGGTTTTAAGCCCTGCTTAAAATAATAACATACCTACTTAATTATTATTATTATTATTTTTTTTTTTTTTTAATGTCAATAGGTAGGTATAATATCAATATATTTCTTCTCGAAATCTAAAATATAATTAAAAAATACAATAAATAACGATTTTTTATAACTTAAACATTAATTAAAATGAAGACTTCGAATACATTTCTTTAACTTGAATGATCGCTTGACAGACTAGCCAATGACTAGCAATTACATTTCATACAAGAGTAATTTAATCATTTATTATATTGTTACTACAATAATTAATGAAATATTTACTTTTCTTCWATATCCTTAGCCTTGTCTCTCACTTCGTGAGCGCTTTGTTCTTCGTCGAAATAAAACTTTTTCGTTTTATCTACATCTTGGACGGAAGAATGAAGCTCTTTTTGTACCAATGCTAAATGATCTGTACACTATAATTATATAATAATATATGATAAATATTTTAGCTTAGAATAGTAAAAATAGTAAAATCATTTATCTATCTCATTATACATTATATACAATTTAAAATGATGAATTTTAATATAAACCCATGATCAAAATTATACATATTATTTATTGAGTAATTTAATTGCTATTATATTATTTTACATAAAAAGTACATAAAATAATATWCTATATATAATATACAATATACTATAATTATTTATTTTAAAAACTAAATCTTTACGCTATATACCAGGAGTGGCCTATATGAATACGTCCACGAGCCACATGAATAAATACAATAATATCATGAACCAAAATTCTTATAAATAAATTTTATAATATTTATAATTTTTTCGTATTTTATCGTTAATAAGTAAATATTCGTTGTTTTTAATAAGACACGAGCTGAATACAACTATGATGCGAGCTGCATATATAAGATGTTGATGTAGGCAGAATGAGAACATGAATTCTACTATATCCTAAAAAATGTCTCAAGCATAAATTTCTATGAACCTTAGGTGGAATATTTCAGTTAATAGGGACACCAACATCATATTCTATACATTTTAACGACATGGGATAACTATTTCGTGAATCACGCTTATCTCTTTTAGAAGGTCAATTTTTTTATAAACATAACGAAATACCGTKAAATAAATGTTTTTAAAAACTGCATAAAATTTTATTGATTGCTTACTTTTTTTGCAATCTGAAGTTTATGTGCTCGAAGAGCTTTCGCTTCGTCATTGATTTGATTTTGTAAAACTTCGATAGCTTCTAATCGTGCTTTTGCAGCCGTTTCGTTTTCTTCAAGAACTGTTCGCCATACATTCCACATATTCCTAAAAATAAGTTAACATTTCTTCACAATTTTTTCAATAACATTGAGCTTAGATAACTATGAAAAAAATCATTACTATCAAAAAATTACGTATAAATAGGTTATAAAATAATTTAATTGTTTTATTTTTAATACTAATAAATAATAATATTTTACTTTTCAAAAATATATATTATGAGTATATTGAGTGAGTATGCTCGATATAGTTTGGGATATTTATCATTAAAGTAAAGCTACAAAAAATAATTTCAGGGTTTGATAAATTCGTTGTAAAAATTTCCATTTTAAGTTTAGGTAGCAAAACTATTTTGGAATTGAAGCGCTTTGACATTTTATGCAATATTAACATTATTTTGGAATAAAACATGTAATAGAATATTTACATAATAGTTACAGTAGTTAATGACATTTTAAAATGTTGATCCTTTTATTTAATAATGCATAAAAACTAATCTTTAAATTTGAATTTAATAAAATCTGTCATATTTCAATTTTTTTTTAAACAACATTATAATTAAAATTTATATTATTAGACCTATTTAATAATATTTTGTATTTTTTATGCGTTTATTTTTATAAAACTATACATTAAAAATTACTCACAAAAATAACATTCCATAAAACTTAACAATATRTTGATAAACTATATTATGAAATTCTTACACGTATTTTTATTTTTTCGTTAAACGTCCTGGTGTCGTTACTATTTAATGCTGTTGTTCTGTAGACGATATATATAACAAGTATATATTACATACTATCAATGTTATTTTAATATTTAGTTTTATATAGCTAACATATTAAGCCAATATAACTATATATAGTTGTTAATGGTTATGGAAACTTCTGAAAAAACATTTAAAGTTTTTTAATAAGACGGATAACTAAATTATTTCAGTATGTGGTATGGATGCATGAATAAAAATTTGTTCCGTATTTTTTTTCTTATTTTGAAAATTTTAGAATAAATAATAATATTTAATGTTTCAACTATGAGTTATGACTAACCTAACCTCAAAACTTCAGAAGAAATACACTACGCGAGTATTAAACATAACACGTTAAAATGCTGACAGTTAAAATATATAACCTATTTACCAAATATGATCCACTGTTCACATAAATCCCATGGATTTAATATTATTCAAATAAAATATAAAGTACGATACAATAAGTACAGTTCATMTATTTGGACACTTGCCTTGCTTCGCTTAATTCGATAATAGCATGTGTTGAATTATTTCTATTAGTGCTCGAAGTAAAGTATACGCAAGACATAGGCAATACGAACCTCCACTACTATTTTTTTT